TTATTTCAAAGGGCACAGATTCAGCCCACAGAGTAAATATGTGGAATCAGATGCAGTGCCAGTTATAAAAATATGTTTTATGCTTTTGTCATGATTTTGAATGAACAATTAAGTTGTTTTTCTACAAATCAAAATGTGGACAGTGTTTGAAATACCCATTGTATGTATTCTAGCCATTTGCAGTTACACTTGGAATTAATTAATAAGATCAATAAGTATTTGATTGTTCATTTGAATAATTTTAAATAATTTAGAAAGTCATTCATTTCTTTATGGGATCTTACCCTGAGTCAGTTAGCAGTTTTACTTGGAGGGTGTAGTGATTTTTTATTTATTTATCTGTGACATTGTGGATTTGATGGAATCCCAGTCCTGTGTCATGTTACTCTGACGTGTCAATGTGTGTACACAGAAGGGGTAGTTATTCTTTTTTTCTAGATATAATTATGCTTCTGTGTGTGTGTGTGTGTGTGTGTGTGTCAGGGAGAAGTACACTCTTGAACAGGACATCAGGGAGACAGAGGAGGCCATCAGACATAAGAGTGCAGAGGTGCAGGTGAGGGCAGCTTGTTCACTGGTTATTCAGCTGCAGTACAAACACTTATTTATTATGTGGTGGACACGTAACGTGATACTTGATTGGCACTCATAGGTTCCTTAAATATACTGTATTTGCATAAGGAGATGCAGAATGACCTGGACAGAGAGACTGCCAGCCTGCAGGAACTGGAGGCCCAGAAACAAGATGCCCAGGACCGCCTAGAGGAGATGGACCAGCAGAAACATAAATTAGAGGACATGCTGAATGAAGTCCGGATGAAGTGCCAGGAAGAGTCTCAGATGGTGAGGAAGAGACGAAGGACTGGGGCATGTGGGGGTTACTGAAAACAAGACACATTCGATAGTTTTGCCACAGCTTCCGCAGAACCATAAATAATAACATGTCATCTATAATGTGTTTTAATTAAAGTTGGTGACTTTGGAATTGGGGCTTATTTTAATGTTCAGCTAAATGGCAGAATCACTTAGGGACAACTGAGATTGTGTCAAAGGGAAGAAGTGAAGAAAGAAAAATATCAACTGTCATACCATCAATCCTATGGTTCAGTAAATTACCAGCTTGTGCAGAATGGATTTCAAGGGCCAGTATAACTTGGCAGGTGTTTTATTTTAGACCCCATCCTCATTCCTTAATTTTCCTCTGCCTCCAGATCTCGACCCTCCAGAGCCAGATACACTCCCAGGAGTCAGATTTGCAGAGCCAGGAGGAAGAGCTGAGCCGGGCAAAGGCCGACCTGGGCCGGCTGCAGCAGGAGGAGAACCAGCTGGAGCAGAGCCTAGCTGCTGGCAAGATCCAACTGGAGACCATCATCAAGTCACTGAAGGCCACGCAGGATGAGATCAACCAGGTAGGAAAAACGGCCTGTGTGTTTGTGTGTCTGAAAAGTGTCAACAGGGGGCAGCATTGCACTGTAGAATCTACTTCTTTATGACAACTGTAGTCAGTAATTGGTCCCCCTGTTCCACTAGAGGAACTGGAACACTATATATTTAGCTGTGTGTGTGGGTTTCATTTAGCCTCAGCTGCTGTGGTGCCACTTACTTACACACACCACTTAACCACCTGCAACTTGCATACACAGTTTGACTTTGGACACACGAAGTGTGATTTGTGCATTATTTAGTCGCCATTCATGATGTTATGCAATATAGCCTGAAAGGATTCTATTCTTCTAAATGTAACAACCACACGACTGAAGTGTATGCTCTGCCCCTGCTCCCTCCTCCAGTCAGAAGGTCACGTGGAGAGATGAGGAGCCGGCAGTTGATCATTTCCTAATGCTCCCCTGTGATAATTTCCGGTCTTTCTGCTTCCAGGAATGTTGGTTTTCATGACATAGTCCATTTAGAACTTTTTTCAAAATGATTCATAAAACCCCATTGCTGAACACTTTGTATGTGTGTATCCTGCAGGCTCGTAGTAAGTTGTCTCAGATTCAGGACAGCCAACAGGAAGTATCTAAAAACATTGAGCAGTACAACAGCACCTTGAATGGAACCCATGGAGGCAGTATGACCAACCTGGCTGACATGAGTGAGGGCTTCAGCGACAGAGAGAATGGAGGATTCCCAGCCATGGTGAGAGCAGCACAGGTCAGGATCTCTACTGGAACGTATGTGGCTTATAACATATTTGAATTCTGGACATGAGGGCCTCTTACTGACACGTTTTCAACAGGCTAGAATGCATTTACGTAAATTAACAGTTGAGCTAGCAGAAAGGAAACTGATGTCATCGCACTTTCTGGCAGCAGCAACTTCTTTAGTTTTTTCCCCTTTCAGCTCTTCGCATAAGCATGTGATCCAAACAGTAGGAATCATTATGGGTGTGCCAAAAATTGAACAATTTATTACAAACTAAAAATAATGTTGGCCTCCCTGGAGCCAGGGAAAGCAGTTATATTGAAAATCTAAACCTTTATTAATCAAAAAAGAGGCATTAAAACAAGGTGAAGCACAAAGAGACAGTTTGGCTGAGAAATCAATGAGCCCATAAAACACACACTAGCTGACAAGCAGTAAATATAATGACCAGGCAACATGTTAACCCAGCACACCGAGAGCTCGCAGTCAGTGTACTAGGGACAAGTTCTTCCCACATGCAGGATGAGCTCTAAGCCAGACCACCGGAATAGAAAACCCACCAAGACAGTGACTCACTACCTGCAGGCCAAACAAAACATAGACATTAACATTAACAGTTAACTCTTTACAGTTGTAAACACATGTACATGTATAGTATTTTGTACAGTTGTATTAGAAAACATGTTCAAACCCCACCAGCTATGCAGCCGACCCCTACTTGGGTCTTCCCGACTAAGTTACCCCTAATGTTACATGAGAATACTTAAAAAACAGCAGTCCACCACCTGCTACTCTGTGGCCAGAGGCCGCTCTGACCCCGGCTCTCCTGGTGACAGCGGTACACCACTTGGAACGCAAGAACACCAATTCGAATTAAAATGTGACCTTCACATTGTGGCAAGACAGCCACTCGGCAGGCAGCGTGCCAGCTTTTCATGCGGAGGACTAAAGCATAATACACCCGCGGCTCTCTAACAAGACCAAGACCAACTGCCCTGCAATGTCAGTTCCACCCGGCTTCATATTCACCCAAAATATAGGCTTATGTAGGCTTTGGCCTTATGAAATAAATTGACAAAGATGAAAACTAAGGATATTTACTAATTTTAGTTAGTTTTGCAAACCCACAATACAGTTTGTTATCGTTTTTGGAAAGCCTCGTTTTTTATTTTATTTCGTTTAACAGCAGTGTTTTTCACACCTAGTTTTTGTTATTTCGTTTGTTTTTGTTAACGCTAATAACATTGGTCCAGAGATAGTCTGCTTCTTCAGAAGGCTTTGACTCTTTGAGTAGAACAGTGCATACAGAGAAGGGCAAACTGCGAAAAAAGAAAATCCTTCAGTGTTTTAAATTGAAATTCAGTCTTGGGGGAAGGGGTTAGGTGTGTGTATGTGCACCGTCATGTGGTGTAATAAGGCCAGGTTTTGCTCTCCCTAGCCACTTACAAAAGTAGCTCTTGAGGTTGATTCCTGCACTTCTAGCTGAGTGGGAGATTATTAAAGCATAGTTGTGGTTTATTAAAATTTGGATGTCATATTTATAGTAGTTTCTATTGGTTATGATAACATTGTATTTGCCAAGTTGACTGTTCAGATCTGGGAACGCAGGGACATTACTGCAATAAATGCAGGTGGGGCAAGAGATGAGAGCAGTCTTAGAATAGGTTATATAGACAGATTGTCACGGGGGTGGCTGAGTGCAGACTGGGGTGAGGACCCAAACGCAGACAATGGCAAGGCGAGAGGAGGATGCAGTTCAAAAAGAGGCCTTTATTAACTCAAACTCAACTGAAACAGGCTTACTTGGAGCTCAGGGCAAAAGTCCAAACAAGGTAATCCAAGAAACACAAGGCGATCCAAAAAACACAGGGAAATCCAGAACAGGGAAAACAGAACACAAGGCGGAACACTCAATAAGACGCACACACAAGGACGTGACAAAGACTGGAGACACAAGTAGGCATACATATACACAGGGACTAACGAGCGGGGCGGGAGCAACACAGGTGAGATACATCAGGTAGTCAAACAAAGCTAGACAAGGACACCAGGTACAGAGGGTTACCAAAAAAACAGGAAGTAAGGTTCACAGGAACACACAAGGCTAAACAGAACACAAGACCAGGAGTAAACACTAAAGACCTGAACTAATGTACAGGACTAAGAACTAAGACACGAGACAAGACAGATACTAAGTAACTTAAGGATGCAGATGAATAATAATGAACAAGGCTACACAAAATACACAGAACCAAAAACAGATTTAAACAGGAAACATGAACACAAAACCACATTCCTAACACAGATGACCTAAACCACTTTATTTGGAGGTCTGACTGAAAGTGAGAGCACTTAAAATGTCGCCAATAATCCCTCATTGTACAAGAGTTAAATGATATAGGACATATAGTGTGTCATATACAGCTCCACATATTCAAGCATAGCTGAAGAAAAAATAAATATGTAAATAAATAAAATGAAAAAGAGATGGAATAAGATGCACAAAAATCACAAAATATACATAAGCGATTAGAGAAAAAGGGTTGGAGCTGCCAGTCCAGCAGGCGGATGTGGAGATGGTCTTGGTATAGCTGAGGTCTCACTAGAATACTGAGCTAAATGCAGCCAACATTCACTGTTAATATATTGTCAAAAGAAAGAAGAATGCAGTTGCTCACAGTTCAAATTCATTTTTGAAGAACACAAACCGCAACACCCATATTGTTTATTTGATATTGTGTTATGGATATCATGTTAATTGATGCCTTTTAAGAGTGTATTTACTTAAAGGCCTACACAGTTGACAGTTTATTAGGTTTATACACCTATTCGGCAAAATATGTAATGAAACCCTGTATGTATAAAACTACCAAAATAAGACCCAAGCTGTAATACACCTACAGCTGATGTAGTTAGGTGTACAGGAAAGGAAGGGTTTTGTGCGTGTGTGTATATGCATGTGTATGCTAAGGCTGTGTGACCGCCACTTGGAACACCTAAATACATTAAATTAAAAGCTTCCTCTGTCACTTTCTCCTTACTATAGGAGGATCCATTCAAAGTGAAACCGTCTGTGTTCAACAGCCAGCCTCAGGATGTTCACGCTGACCCCTTCAACTCTGAAGATCCCTTCAAAACAGACCCATTCAGAGGTTACCAGCCCCTTTACCTTCACTCTTTCCTCTGCCTCTTTTCCTCAGGATATATATTCTTCTTTTCTTCAACTGTCCTCTGTGATCCACTTATTCTCCTCTCCTTCTTCCTCATCCACTCATTTTTCACACATGATGCATCTCCTCTCTGCTCTTAGTTGCCTGTGTTTACTGCTCTGTTGATCTTTGGATTTCTTGTTTAGCTTTAGTTGATCTCTGACTGTCTTCTCTGTCTTCCACTCCTCTTTGTTTTCCTCCTACTCTTCCCTCTCTGCTGGATTCCTCACCTGTAGGTGACCCTTTCCAAAACGATCCTTTTGCAAAGCAGCCATCAGCATCCACAGGTATTTATTTGGGGAAAGGAGCTCAGTTACATTGCCTTAATCTGGTCACCGCAGGAAGTCTAGTAAAATTCACAACAAAAATCGGTTAAGTTGAATTGGATCAGCCTGGTCACTTGGTGGGACAAAGTAAAGCTGGGGAGTGGACCTTGGGTTGAGATTATATGTTCACATATAAACAAAACAGTTACAGTGTCGACTGCTGTATTCCTGCTACAGCTATTTTGAATGGGGTTTAGTGCACATATACAATATAGGAATTTCAGAAAACAGGATTTGGTGTGAAATTATAATGTGTATATATTGTTCATTATACAAATATTGTGAATCTGCTCTATCAGTTTGTCCTCCACTCTTTAACCATATTGTGCTTTAACAAAACAAAGCATGTATCTTTACAAATCTCCTTAAATGAATGAAAGAATGAATCTGTTTGGTTTTT